TGATAAAAGGCCGTAATGTTGTTTTGAGGCTTTTGGGGTTGCGAGTCACCACTCCCGACTTTTTTATCAGGTTTTTGCGAGCAGTTTCCGTTTTTTGGTTCGTTTTGAGGAGGGGAACAGTTGGGAAGAGGTGAGTGGCCCCGGGGGTTCACTACTGACCAATGTGTTCTTATAAAACTGAATTCGTTGTTACATTGTTTTGAAGCTTTTGGGATTTTTTTTTGCAAGGTACACTAGCCCTGACTCTCATTTCTCTCTCACTGTTTTTTCTTTTTTTTAAAAAAGACTTTTTATCACTACACTCGGAAAACAGAGTCATCAAATCCACAAAACTTTTTCTCTTAGTCTGGAAAGGACTGATCTCGTTATATCTTCAGATCAATTTAGAAATGAGGTTTGTCGATCTGGGATTTGAAAGTGACCTGCTTGTCCCCAGTTTAATGTAACGAATCAACGGATTCAATCTTTTTTTAATGGTTTCAGTGTTATCTTTGCTTTAAAACCCTATGACCCGGAGGAAACTGAAAGTTATGTTAATAATGAGAAATTTTCAACATGCGACCTTAGATTAAATCAAGGTGTCCCGACCCATACTAGTATTTAAGAATTTGTCTGTCATAAGCAAATGTATAGAAATCATTTTAAAGGGGACCGGGAAGTGTCGCCAGGTTGCAAGGAAATTTAAAAGGGAAAAGACAAGGGGAAACAAACGAACGAGTGGAAGCAATCCAACACACACAACACTGTTGCAAACTTACTACGGAGGCGCACCAACGGTGACAAAAAAATGGAAACCCTGCGAAAATATTCTGTAAAGTTGGTTTGCTAAATTTCAAAATTTTCCCCATGTATGGAACTTTTTGGAACCCCGTAGTATATTTTAAAATTTGACAGTAATAACTTGATATTTTCACCAACAATGAAAGAATATTTTTTTTTTTCATTTATCCTTTTTTTTACTGATATATACTAAAATCAAAAAAAGAAAATTTTATAAAAACTAAAAAAAAATTTAGTCCTTGCTCTTAAAATGGTTCCTTAGGCTGGTAAAGGATCTTGATCCCGGGAATTGGGGGTATTTTTTCCCCCGGGGGGAACCCCAATTACCTCTCATTTTGCCGGAGCCCCGCATGCCCATGTAATTTAACGCTTCCCAGTGACTTTAAAAAATACTTTCCTCCGGGAATTAAATAAAACAATTATCCCTTAGTGAGAATTTAAACAGGGGTAATCTGGGGGTTTTTTAATTGTAACGTTTCACCAACATGAATTAGTACAAAGGACTAAGGGAAAAACTGTAAACTTATACAAAAAATGGGGTAATCAGTCCCCCCATGAGGGGGTGATTACCTCCTTTTGCATATACGTATTCACTGCTTCACTTTTTCCTTTTATGAAAAAACCCTGGATGGTAACGTCCTACAAAATGCCCGGATTGGGATGTTAATTTTCATCCGTCGGGCGTATACTGTACATAATTATACTAAAAATGGATATTTACCCGGGGAATTGACGAGGTGTTATTGACTCCCGTGACTCACAAAGGTAGCAGTTTGTCTCTGGTTTTTTTTCTCAGTACACCTTCCTTGTGCTAAAAAAATTACATTAAATATTACTGTACAGACAGATAATTTATACCCAATGAAAATGAGTTCAATATTCTTACGAACAAAAAAAAAAAAAAAAAAAAAGAAACTAGAAGGCAAGAGTTCGTTTTTAAAGGGATCTTTTGGGATATTATTGGGTTTAATTAGGTTGGTTGGGTTTTAGTTAGTTTTGTAGGAAACAGGAAAATATTTCCTGGGGGGGGTCTAGTTGATATGACCCACCACTGGAAATTTTGGAACTGACAAAGTCCTTCTACTTAGATGTTTAGTGCAATCCTGAAACCCAGTCTTAAAAACAATATTTCACTTTTTCTAAATCAGTTAATGGGTGACAGATTAGAAAACCTTAAACAGTTTTTATCTCAAGCCAGCTGTGGGGAGCCCCCTTTGCCCCTGGATGAGCGCCGAGTCTCACGGTGTACGACACAAGGGTTTTTGGGGTCAGAGTTTTGAATGTTTCACACTACAAAAGTGGCCAAGATCAACTATACAGACTGTTTGTGCGCCTTTTGTTAGGAAATGAGCCAGTGGAATGCCCGGTTGTTTTTTTTTAATGTGGATGATGTGGCAAGAAATAAGATTTGGCCCAAACTTTTTCCACAGTTAAAATTTTTCAACCAAAAGATTTCGTTTTAAATTTTTTAAAAATTTTATTATTTTTAAATTATTTTATTTTTATTATTTTTTTAAAAATGTTAACCCGTGTTGGTATTTTTAAATTTACTATAAATAGTCGTTTTAAAACCAAGGTAAGTAGATGGTTAAAAGCAAAAACGATGTCTGAGAATTTGCTAGGTACCAGTGGAAGGTGGCAGTCTAGAAGTCAACATGATTTTTTTGGCCTATTCTATCACAAAAGACATTTGGGGGGTTAAAAAGGATGCATAGCGAGCCCTAATTTGGGTAGGAGCGGAAAAGTTGTGCCCGAATGATAGGCATCGTTGATGGGACAAAATGTAATGGAATGAAAATTTACTCGCAGCATCCTTCCCTAATCCCAAAAAATGAAGGTATTGCACAGCCCCTGAACTAAGGATGGTTTTTGAAAGTGCGTGTTCTCAAGATAGGAACGGAAAAAAGGAAGCTCAGCAAGGAGTCATCCGTTGATTCCCCTCAAGGGAAGGTTTCCTTGATGTTGGCGGGGGCTCTTGTTTAGGGAAAATTGGATCGTGCCCTTCCCGAATTAAGCCTAAGCCTTCCACATCCCCCCCAGGCCGCTGTATAATCCCCGGTTGTAGCGTTCCCCCTGATAATAAAATCCGTTCTGATTTTTAATACGAGAATCAGACAATTTCTAATGTCGTATGCAAGCGGTGAACTGCTCACCTGGTCAGGAAAATGAAGATTCAAAGAATGATGCAGAGGGTTTGGGAGATAAAGATGTAGAGGGACTGGGATTGATGTAAAGGGACTGGGGGAGATTGATGTAGATAAACAGACTCTGAGATGGATGCTGCGTATCTGGGAACAGAAGACAAGAAGACTGGTTGATGAGCCCGCCAGAGAAGGTAAGCATGGCAAGAGTGGTGATAGGATTACATTCCCAGGGAAACTAACTTAAAACTTCTATGTGATGCACAGATCTAGAGCTGAGAGCGTCCCAGGCCGAGAAGTATGCCTGTTGCTTCCTCTCAAGGAAAACAACGTGTCTTCTTAGTAATGCAGCTCTGAAGCTCATCGAGCCCATTTTCCTACAATAAATTTCCACGGGATTTTTTGCAAGAAAGAGCTTGAGGTTGCAGTTACTGGAGGCGTTCCTCCACGATAATGCAGGACGAGCAGGCCGACTAGAGATGAAGAGACAGAAATAACTGTGAGAGACATGAAGAGCTATGAAGGCAGAGTTCCTTTTCAAAACAACTCACGTTCGTCGGATAAACAAATCAAAGAAATCAAGTCATGACGAGGGTGCTGGAGGAGGTGGGAACTGTCGCAGAAGACTCCAACGGCATTAGTACCCTGTTAGTGAGGGGCTTTTGATCCAAAATACTGGACCTGCCGCCTCTTTCTTGGATGGAATATGATTGCCTTCCATTACCCAAGTGCTGTACAGCCTCGACAAATTTAACACTTCCCCCTAGTACTCACCTATTTTTGGTTGCAAGGGTCGAGTCAAGCTCCTGGCCCCGCATTGATTATCTATAATCACGATCAACTGCAGAAAACATGAAAAAAGACTATGCAAAATCAAGTGAAGCCGGTAGAGGGAAAGTAGAGTTTAAGCCAACCCAGGTAAACTCCAGTCATTAAATTCTATAATAGAAAAGAAACTGCTGTGCAATTGATGCATTCCCTTTGGGGGAAGTTGAGCAGAATGTCTTGCTTCATGAAAGTAATGTTAACTAAAGTAGTGATGTTCACAGTCACAACAAGGCAGAAACAAAGAGCCTCCCGAGATACAAAAACAATACCACAGTGAAAATAGGAAAAACCCTCAGCACTTTCATGTGCTTATACAATCTTTTAATTCCTCTGAAGATGTGTGTGTGGTGTGTGTGTGTGTTTTGTGTGTTGGGTGTGTGTGTGTGTGTGTGTGTGTGTTTGTGTGTGGGGTGTGTTTGTAAGCACGTGAAAAAGCTCAGGTATTTTTCCCATTTTTTACTGTGGTATTTTTATATTACAAATCACACATTTATTTTGATTTCTTCCATACAATACTATATTTTTTTCCTCAACGGGGATCCTAAAGGACCTTAGTTTATATGAACCATATGTTCAGCTTCTTTTACTGAATATATGAAAAAAAAAGGACACAGACTATGTGCCAAGCGAGATGCATGCTGATTATATTCCCCTGAGAAGGAAAGGCTGAATATCCACATCAGTGGTGAGTTCTCCACAATGAGACGGGTTCATAACAAACGTTAACAGGTGACTAATGGTCTCAAACAAATGCTAGTGAGAGTCCGTGTGCGCATGTGCACAGAAAATAAACGAAAGGGACAACTCGTCCAAAAATGACTCGTTCTTCCATATTGTTAATAAGAGGTTATAGAGATTTAGTAGCTATTCTACATGGTTCATGGAGTTCCAAACGAAATACAACTTCTAATGTTTGTGCACACTGACATTACTTTTATTTTAATATTGCCGAGTACATAGTGTTTTTGAAATTTTGAATAAAACTGCTTTTTAAAGTAGTAAACTGTACTGTTTACCATAGTACTGCAAAATATACAGTAAAATACATCTTATTAATGTAATAAGGAATACTACACTGTAGCATTGTTTGTGTGGTATCACCAAGTGAATAAAAAAAATTTAATTTTGTGTATGTATGTATATATAAATATATATATAATATAAAATTATATATATATTATATATATATATAATTATATTATATAAAATATATTAAATTTAATTATTATTATTTAGGAAAGGCAGACTTACCTCAGAACAGTATTAATGCAAACAAATGATTCCACTTGGCCGGTTTGTTTGTTTACTTCCAGATATCCTCTTGATCTTGTGTTACATGGGATCCATCCCGACACTTAAGCCTGTAAGACACTATCCCTTGTCCACAGGTACTGATAAACACTGCAAAGGAAAATAATATATGATGATACACAGAGGTTTCTCTGGCATAGTGTGTATAGAAATGAACTGTGTTTGCAGCCTTTGTGACAATTTCTCTGCATATTCTGTGACTTGTATGATTTTTCTCTACTTTGTCAGATCAAACCCCAAACTGTGATATATATGTTGGTCAGCGGGCCATCAGCAGCAACAGCCTGGTTGAGCAAGCAAGCACCAGACGAGCCTATAGAAATGCTCTCGAAACTCATCAAAGGTTTCTAGCTTCTTAAGCCATGTGGCTGCCGGATCTCTCGGAAATATTTGTGAGAATTTGCGTGGCATTTTCACGTGTGTTGATGTTACTGCAGAAGTGACCCTGGGTCATCTGTCCCCCCTCAATGTGTACCTGTGTGTGTTCATGCTGTCTGTGAGGTATATGAATGTTATGTAATACCGACAAGATGAACTAGACACATGTGCAACATCTGGGTATCTATTTGTAGATGTTTCGCCCTCCAGTGGCTTTATCAATACAGGGATATAATGTGAAGACTTTAGAACTATATACAAAAGATGAGGTAATCAGTCCCTCAACCGTGAAGTTGGTGAAAGAGAACCATAATCTTCAAGACTATATACATAGTCTTCAAGATTATATACATGGTCTTGAAGTTGTCTTGAAGACTATATACATAATATTCAAGACAACTCCATTGATTACCTCATCTTTTGTATATAGTTCTACTGTCTTCACAGTATGTCCTTGTACTGATAAAGCCGCTGGATTGTAATAATGTTGGTAGAATTTCCGACAATATGTTAGGTAAAAGGACACAAGTGCAACTAATGTGACATTTTATTGTGGCAAGGTTTCGCTCTCCAGGAACTTTATCAAACTTGATAAAGGTCCTGGAGAGCGAAACGTTGCCACAATAAACTGTCACATTAGTTGCACTTGTGTCCTTTCACCTAAAGCCACTAGATGGCAAAACGTCTACAGATGTCGCACATGTGTAATTCTTCATACCATCTGATTGTACTGTACTTCTCCCAGCACATCTTGTTCATTACTGACGTGGTATCTACACTGGTAATCTGGGTCTCTCTCATCTAGATGTAAATATCTTCACTGCCTATATTGGTCTCGCTAATTCTTAGACTTTGTATTGCGTGAAGCTGTCAGTCTAAATTTCTTAGTTTTTTCCAGAGTTGCTTGCTGCTCTGCAAGGCAAGACAGGAGTGCAGCCTTAGCCTGCCCCTTCTATACCTTTTATAATTTTAAGGTGTCCTCAAAAACTCAAATCATCTTTACCACACACAGTAAATTTTTCTTCACTCCTGTTATTAATACGGGTATAACTTTCGCCTTGTTAATTGAGATTGCATATGCGCCAGTCCAACACATTACTGACAGTGAACGTACACGGGAAACGCTGTTGGTTGCTTACACAGAGAGATGTTTACGTGTTTACAGTCCACGAAGACAACAACACATATTTACTTACCTTAAACAGGTGTTGAAATTTACTTAGATTTATAGTGAATTATTTCTTTCAAACCATACTGAAGTGAAACCAGCATTTACTTATTGAGTATTAAGCAAAGGGTGATTCTATAACAGTAGTTGTTTGACATGCATTTACGTCACGTACGATTTTAATAGTAATTGTATAACACTAAAATTGTGATGCAGTACAGAGGGACAGTTCTACTGTATACAAACATTAACTAAGGTTGTAGATGAATGGTTCAAAGAACCGACATGTTAAATTAGACACATGTGAAACTCTTGGGTATCTTTATTGAGGAAACGTTTCGCCACACAGTGGCTTCATCAGTCCATACATAGGAGAAACTTGAAGAACAGGAGGAGAATGAGGTAATCAGTCCCTCACCACCTACGACTGCTGCACCTCTCCTGCCATACGGTTTATAAGCTGCTTCTCCGCTCATATGCCGTATTCTATTCAAGATTGATGGACTGACCACATCGACTCAAGGTTGAGGGACTGATTACCTCATTCTCCTCCTGTTCTTCAAGTTTCTCCTATGTATGGACTGATGAAGCCACTGTGTGGCGAAACGTTTCTTCATTAACTAAGGTTACCGAGCTTAGGTATATAACACACTGTACACCACACACCAGGGCAGCATGGGTTTAGAGCAGGCTGCTCCTGCCTGTCCCAACTACTGGATCACTATGACAAGGTCCTGGATGCACTAGAGGACAAAAAGAATGCAGATGTAATACACAGACTTTGCAAAAGCCTTCAACAAGTGTGACCATGGTGTAATAGTGCACAAAATGCGTGCTAAAGGAGTAACAGGAAAAGTCGGAAGATGAATCTATAATTTCCTGACAAATAGAACACAAAGAATACACACACAACCCGCACATAGAGAGGAGCTTACGACGACGTTTCGGTCCGACTTGGACCATTTATAGTCACACTGGTATAAACCTTGGTAATAAATACCGACAAGTTGGTTTAGAAAGACACGTAAGCAAACACTATGACATATTTATTAGAAAACGTTTCGGTCCTGGGACCTTGATCACTTCTAACATACAGAGGTAGAAAGGCATTATATATATATAGGCGGAGAGTGAGGTGTGACGCACGTGACCTGAGGAATGTCATAAGAACATGAGAACATAAGAATGGAGGAACACTGTAGAAGGCCTACTGCCCATGCGAGGCAGGTCCTTATCAAAACAACCTCTGCCTACGATGAGGACGGGATAGACGTTGAAATCATGTGACTCCTGTGCTGTTGGGTTGGTGGTGCTTAAGTATCATGTATGCCAATGTTTTTGAAATTTTGTAGTTTCCAGTGTTGCGTTCTATAGTGTCGGTGACTGCGATTAGTGAGGCTTCTAGGCACCGTCGGCGTCTGAGGTCTGGTTCGGTGAGAACGAGTTGTGCCTCATTCCAGTTCATCAAATGTCCCGTGGAGTCTCTGTGGAGGACACAGGCGTACCTTACATCGTCTCTGTTAGAGGCATTTCGATGCTCATTCAAGCGGACTGCAAGATCTCTGCCTGTCTCGCCTACATATTTCTTGGGACAGAACCCACAGGGGATAGTGTAGACGCCTGCTGTAGAAGTTAGAGGTGTGGGGCTGCATTTCGTAGTGAGGTCTTTGATAGATGATGTGTTTATGGTGGAAACGTTAATGTTACTCATAGCAAGTGCCCGGCGAGTATTCGTGGCAACATCACCATATGGGAGTACTATGAACTGTTTAGGGGGCTGTTCCATGGGCGGTTTGTTGAGAATAGCTTGTGCCTTAAGTCTGCAATCTCGGATGAAGAAAGATGGGAACTGAAGACGTGCAAAGGCTTGTGTTATGTAAGTGCATTCTTCTTCTAGAAAACAAGGGCTGGAGATGCGAAGAGCTCTCAAGAAGAAGCCAATGAGGACTCCTCTCTTAGTGCGGGTGTCTTGGTGTGAATAAAAGTGTATAAGATCGTCCTTGTTGGTAGGTTTTCTATACACTTTGAAGAGAAGTTTGTCACTATCGGGAGATCTGCATAGTAGAACGTCGAGGAAAGGAAGTTTGCCATCATTTTCGAGTTCAAGTGTAAACTTTATTGATGGTTCAACTGCATTGATCTTGTTGAGAAGGGCCTGGATATTGAGACGTCTCGGATAGAAAACCAATATATCATCAACGTATCTTAGCCAGGTAACGGTGTTGGGAATGAGGGTGCTGAATTTCTCTGTCTCCAGGTTTTCCATGAAGAGGTTGGCAAGCACAGCACTGAGCGGACTGCCCATTGCCATCCCAAAGCACTGTTTGTAACAGTTGTCCTTAAAATTGAAGAAGTTGAAATTAACACAAAGTTCCACTAGATTGATGAAGTCTATAAGAGGTAAAGGGAGGTCGTGGTTTTCAGTGAGCCTCTGTCTCAGAATGTTGATTGCAGCGTCAGTAGGAACGTTGGTGAAGAGGGCTGTGACATCGAAGGAAGCCACTCCTCGACAACTGACCACATCTAGACACCCTTTCTCTCCTGCTGTTTACGCCTACCTTAGAGAAAGCTCTGATGAACTGCGACATGCTCAGAAGGAGACCTCATTACGTGCCGCTCAGATTCGTGCTTCACTTCCTACTCCTGACAGAAGAACTGCAGAATATATACTCAGCCAAATTACCACTGCCAACATCCAACAGAAATTGAAGCTATCACGAAAACTACAAGACCTGTGCTCCCACAGCAAATGGAGCGAAATGGGACGACCAGAAATCATAAATAACTTATCTTCCTACACACTAACCGTCACCGAGACAGAAGCCCTCAGCCTAGGGCTCAAGTTTACTACCGCATCAACAAGAAACATAATCTGGTGGATATGGTAACCAAGAACCAACCTTTTGGAGGCTCCGAGTTTCAAAAAGGCTTTGTTCAAGGAATTATCACTGCTGCAGCTACTGAGCCTTCAAGACCGGTCATTCCCAGAAGATACATCCAAGCACTCAGGAACTTGGCCAACAACGTGAATCGTCATTACAACCGCCGACAAAGGAGGTGGTGTGGTGTTACTCCAACCTGTCGACTACAACAATAAAGTTTTAAATCTTCTCAACGATGTCAACACATACCAGCCTGCATCAGAATCAGTGCTACTTCAAAGTACCCAGACTTTTCTTCAAAAGGCTCGTAGCATCTTACGAAAATCAGAACAAGGCAAAAAACTACTTTAAACTTTTTACCAGGTCAACCGAAACCAGCACGTCTGTATGGCCTTCCTAAGACACACAAACCTGGCATCCCACTACGGCCTATCACTTCGGGCACAGGGAGTGCACCACACAGACTAGCCGGCCACCTTGCCAAATACCTTTCAGCGCTTCTGGGCACCATCAGTCAAGCCCACCTCAAGCACTCAGGTGACCTTCTCTCCCGAATTTCCAACCTGAATGTCAAAAACAAAGCATGGCTTCCTTCGATGTCACAGCCCTCTTTACCAACGTTCCTACTGACGCTGCAATCAACATTGAGACAGAGGCTCACTGAAAACCACGACCTCCCTTTACCTCTTCTAGACTTCATCAATCTAGTGGAACTTTGTGTTAATTTCAACTTCTTCAATTTTAAGGACAACTGTTACAAACAATGCTTTGGGATGGCAATGGGCAGCCCGCTCAGTGCTGTGCTTGCCAACCTCTTCATGGAAAACCTGGAGACAGAGAAATTCAGCACCCTCATTCCCAACACCGTTACCTGGCTAAGATACGTTGATGATATATTGGTTTTCTATCCGAGACGTCTCAATATCCAGGCCCTTCTCAACAAGATCAATGCAGTTGAACCATCAATAAAGTTTACACTTGAACTCGAAAATGATAGCAAACTTCCTTTCCTCGACGTTCTACTGTGCAGATCTCCCGACAGTGACAAACTTCTCTTCAAAGTGTATAGAAACCTACCAACAAGGACGATCTTATACACTTTTATTCACCCCAAACCCCCGAACAAGAGAGGAGCCCATGGTTTTAGAAGCTCTTCACCCCGCCCTTTTTCTAATGCCACTTACTAACACCACCTCCCCTCTTTTTGTTCCATTTTCTTCTGGTTCCCGTTCCGTCTCCCCCCATCGCCCCCTAAACTGGCTCCCATTTTGTGTTCAAGGATAGGGACGCTGGTAAATGACCAAAATCCACTTTCATCATATAAAATAAATTCCGCGGGAAACTTTCCCTGTTTCCTCCAATTACAACCAACCCTTCGTGTTAGTGGCCTGTAAAGGGCCCCCAAATGGCCCGAAACCCCGGGTCCCATAACCCCACCTTTTGAACTTAATTGGAAAATGTTTCCCAAAGTCACGGAGGTCCCTTTGGTTTTCCATTAGCAATAAACGGAAAAACTGGAAATCACAACTAATTCCCCTGGGCCCATACGGACCAACATCACCCCCCGGATCATGTATTTAACGTTTCCCTGCCTCCGTGGTAGATTGGAAAGGATACTCGTGGGAGAGGACAGTTTTCCCAATTTATTTCCAAAAGAACAAAATTTTCCATTGGGTCAAAGAAATAATAAATTTAAAAAACCTTTCTAACCTCTTAAAGAAAACCCATGACCGAAGTTTTTTCAAAAAACAAAAGGGGCCCGTGGTTTTCAAAAAACATATCATAACCGCAAAAAAACAAAACCAGTGATAAAGAAACAAAATACCATTGGTTTTCAAAAAACAAAATACCAGATTCAAAAACTAAAAACCATTTTTTCCCCGCCTTCCTTCGCTATAATGGCCCCATGGTTAAAGAAACTGTGCCAGTCAAAAAACTAAGCGGGTCAAAGAAACCCATAATTGCCTGTTCAAAAAACCTAATGACCAGGTTAAAGAAACTGAAATGCCAAAGGGTCAAGAAACTCTATAACCCCTTTCAAAAAAACTTTTTTTGGACATTGTTAAAAAGAAACTAATGCCTTGGTTTTAAAAAAAAAAAAATTTCGACATATAGTTTTGGCAAGGACAAATAACCAGTGGTTCAAAGTAACCCATTATACCCGTGGTTCAAAGGGAAAAAAAATTCCTGTAAAGAAACAAATTTAAAGTTCAAAGAAACAAATACCATGGTTCAAAGAAACATAATACCAGGTTAAAAGAAACATAATACCAGGGGTTTTCAAAGAAACATAATAACCAGTGGTTCAAAGAAACATAATAACCAGTGGTTCAAAGAAACATAATGACCAGTGGTTCAAAGAAACATAATGACCAGTGGTTCAAAGAAACATAATGACCAGTGGTTCAAAGAAACATAATGACCAGTGGTTCAAAGAAACATAATGACCAGAGGTTCAAAGAAACATAATAACCAGTGGTTCAAAGAAACATAATGACCAGTGGTTCAAAGAAACATAATGACCAGTGGTTCAAAGAAACATAATGACCAGTGGTTCAAAGAAACATAATGCCAGGGTTCAAAGAAACATAATGACCAGTGGTTCAAAGAAACATAATGACCGGGTTCAAAGAAACATAATGACCAGTGGTTCAAAGAAACATAATGACCAGTGGTTCAAAGAAACATAATGACCAGTGGTTCAAAGAAACATAATGACCAGAGGTTCAAAGAAACATGATAACAGTAATTCAAAGAAACATGATAACAGTAATTCAAAGAAACACGATAACAGTAATTCAAAGAAACATAAAACTCGCCTTTCTTTCATCGCATGGCACTCAAAACTTTCACAAGGAACATGTGAATAGAGTGCTACCGTAGGCCTATTGATGCAATCAGCCTATCAACCTTGGAGAAACAGTATTTGAGGTGGTCAGTCCCTCCAAGGTTGATGGACTGACAACATCATCACGTCACTACTACACCTCCTGCTGTAGCCTGAGACTTGGCTAGACAGAAGAAACACAGACGAACGGGAAGGTGAAGACAGCTCATGACAAAGAGATGAAGGGAAGGCCAAGGTCAGCTCAGGTCATCAGTATTCCGAATATTAGAACAATATTTCGCTCTCCAAGAGGGAAACATTGCCACAATAACATAAGAAAGGAGGAACACTACAACAGGTCTACTGGTCCATACTTGGCAGGATACTGTCAAACCCAAACCCACTAAAAAATATTCGACCAACCCATCATCAATGTTACCTAAGGAATAAACTTTGATAACCTTATAAACTCGAGCGCAAGTCTCACTTAAATTCCACATTCACTGCATCTGTGTCCACTTACCTAACAGAAGAAAAGCTTGCCTCAGACGGGTGGACATCAACGTACAAGAAATGAAGTAGAATCTTAAAATTTCCATTCAGCTTTGAACATAAATGGAACAACATTGTAGGGGCAGCAAGAAAGGATTTTAAGACCCTAGACTCGTGTGGTCGATAAACAAAGACATCATTAATATGGTAAAGCCAAAGAGGAGGACGCACAAGAATAGTGGCAGTAGAGTTGTTTCGAAAAACTTCATGTAAAGCTTATTAAGAGCTGGGATAGAGCAGAGCTCATGGCAGTACCAAAGTTGTGTACAAAAAAAAATTACCTTGGAAGGAACACGAGTTACAATAACACACACAAAAGGCGAACAATGTCAAGAAAGACATCAGTAGGAAGAGGGAAATAAATTAGCTCCTCGTTGGCCATTTCTCTGAAATCTGAAATAATCATCAAGAAGAACGATAATAAAGAGCCAGACATTATATTAAGACTTAGCATTGTACAGGTAAAATTTGGCCACACTCGTTAATCATGCGGAAAATATACCTTGAATTTTCCAGACGGCCATTAAATCCTTTCCTCTTGGGGGGAGACATGCCTAAGAGGGGTGCCGCCATTTTAAGATTTTAGCCTCGTAACCTACATTTTAAAAATACATTTACATAATATATTTAGGCTAAGTTAGTGTTAGTCGTTTAGCTTAATGTAGTAATTACACTACCCATACATTAATAGGCCGTAGGCAGTTTCTTTCCCACCAAGAAGCGGCCACCTGATCTGAGCTGCGGCTGCGGCGGCGGTCACGCTACGACCTGTGAGCCACGAAGCGACTGTCCCCATGGATATTGTGGATTACCCGTTACCTCCCTCAATACGGATATATACCGCGAAAGCTCACTACAGACGAGACCGTGGCCCGTGACTCCCAGATATTCTTAGGTGTTCCCACAGCCACCACCTTGCATGCAAGTATCCCAGGTGTATTAAGTATGTACTTGTTACACAAATAACCCGCACATAAAAGAGAGAAGCTTACGACGACGTTTCGGTCCGACTTGGACCAATGGTCCAAGTCGGACCGAAACGTCGTCGTAAGCTTCTCTCTTTTATGTGCGGGTTATTTGTGTATCGTTCCAGTCACGGTATTGTGCCTTTTGTTATTTATGCACTTGTTCAATGGGGTTGCGTGCAAGGATAGGCTACCTCCTGCATCAGAAACTTGGAGAAGCCACTGTCTGTCATATGCACACTGGCTCCTGTGCAGCATAGAGGTACGCACCCATTACTGTCAGTTAAATCTAGGGTGAGGCGGCAGGGCCTAGACTGGATTTCTGACTGGACAAGGGACCACTAACTCCAACAGTGCTAATTCATAGCCTCTATTCTACACAGATCCTGAGTGACAGAGGTGAGTAGGAGAGGAAAAAAACAAGGAAAGGAGTAAGAGTTTAGCAATCAAGAACATGAGAAGATGAGTAAACAAAATTATGCAACTTTTTAGGTCACTTATTTTGTCCTTGTTTACAACCAATTAAATGACTTGGAAGTAATAACACAAACCTGTGATCTGTGTACAATATTTTCCCGTCCATTCCATGCCGCGTAATGTATTCATCTTGCGTAGACTCTACCAGAGAAAGCTCAGTGATTGGCCGATCTTTTACCACTCTTATAAAGCTGACCAGCATATGCGTTCCAATTCTACTGGAGGAGACCTTTGTAGACTGGCTGTCTCCATCAGCGTCTGATTCATCTTCGTCATCATGATCTGTAAATAAAACCCAAAACCCAAATAATCAGCATGCAATCATGAAAAACGCCTTGCCGTCTAAGGGCCCCTGAGCACCCACTTGGAATATGTCACATTCACAATACTCACCTATCTCACCCCCTATTAAGTCTCTCGTATTATGCTTTTCAAGCACAATGTGGCCTTCTGTTGTCGCTTGCCAGTCTATATTCATCTGTTGTGGTGACAGCACCACATGACTGGAATGCAACCGAGATGTAACAGTTCTGGAAGATGGCAGTATCTGTGGGCCCCCAGGGGTCCAAACACGGAGAGGTGTCTTTCATATTTCAAAACCTGTTTTTTTTTCTCCTGCGGTGGGGCCCTAGGGGCCCACTTTGAATTCTACCACCCGAACCCAAGACACGGAGGAGACAGCTGTTGAACTGAAGTGGAAGTCCAAGGTGAGGTGATCATAGTAGCTCAGTCAATATGAAGACTGAATTAACTGCTTACAAGCTTGCTGGGCTGCTGTGAAGGTAGGATCTCTGAACAAGGTCCTGAGCAGAGCCATCGCCAGGTATACAGGAGTCGCCGGTGACATCCTTCCACGTCAGAACGGCCCTGAACTTTACATACACACCATGAAATATAACCTGCAAGAACAGGCAAGACTACAATCGTAGTGATAAATGTTCTTCTCCCCATCCTCTCCAGGAACACTTGGATGCCTTTGCAGTGAACATGGCCCGAAGATCTTTCTTCCCTAGTGTCTTCAATTCGTCCGGACACAGGCAAGGTATAGCTCTGAATGGAAGACTATATGTATTCAAAGACCTGGATATGCCAACTCAAGCGCCCGAGAAAAGTGTAAACCTCACTGAGGTTTCAATGGACAGTTGTGCATCAACGAAACCCTCCATCATCATTAACACAAGTCGTTGATGATTTAGACTGGGTATCATTGTTTACCTGGAGTTTACCTGGAGAGAGTTCCGGGGGTCAACGCCCCCGCGGCCCGGTCTGTGACCAGGCCTCCTGGTGGATCAGAGCCTGATCAACCAGGCTGTTGCTGCTGGCTGCACGCAAACCAACGTACGAGCCACAGCCCGGCTGATCAGGAACTGACTTTAGGTGCTTGTCCAGTGCCAGCTTGAAGACTGCCAGGGGTCTGTTGGTAATCCCCCTGTGGAAACGTTCCGTCAACCAGTGGCTTCCTCAGTCCAGTACAGAGAAGAATGGTTGAAGATCACATCGACTCCAGGCTGAGGGACTGATTACCTTAAACTCCTGATCTTCAATCATTCTTCTCTGTATTAGACTGAGGAAGGTACTGGTTGACGAAAGTGTTGCACAAGTGTTTAAATCGTCATCCTGTCGGTTCTCCAAACTATTTATACACGAGTCGTTACCACCAATGTTGGTATAACGACGGACACGACTTAACAACAGCCCACAGGAGGTAGCAAGCACATACCAAGACCCACTAGGATACCTGCTAATGGAAGGGCATTACCTGCGAGGTCATCAACAAGGTCCAGTGGACTCGGGAGGATTAAGGTCAGGGTAGAGGGAATAGGTTATACCTCTGGTGGGACTGAAATAGCAATTCTGTAGAGTTCAATACACAAATAACCGCACACACAAGAGCTTACGACAACGTTTCGGTTCATCTTGGACTATTTACAAAGTGAGGGCTATTTGTTTATTGTTCCAGTCACGGTATTGTGACTTTGTTCTTTATTCTCTCGAGTTGCTAATAAAACCACTGGTGTGACCCTGGAGGTCACCTTCACCAGTGACCCTGGAGATATTGTAAAGCTTTATTAAAAGCTGTTTAAGTAGCACTCCAGGTAAGCTGAGGTTATAAAACAGGTCTATTTCTTGACTCACGAAACCGTAATAACACAATTGCAAGCAAACCACTGTACGAGTGGGGTTAAAACTCATGGCAACTGAGTCGTAAAACTCCAGATTTGTTTCCCTTAATGACGAGTCCTTCACAGACATTCAAAAATGGTCTTTATTTACCCCAGTTTGTGTACAAAGTGAGACTTGTTTCTCGACAAACTCGTTCATTTTAGTGACAGAGTTGAAGTTGAAAAATAATTGGGATATTTCTGTTTATCTATGGGTTTGTTTAAATTTAAATTCCCTTTCCTTCCCACATTTAGTTAATACAGCAAATCTAGTTGCTTTAGACAGGTTTGTAGTTTAAAAGGCATTCAGAATGAGGAAGAATATCCACAGGTCGTACACTCTGCTCACAGCAAAGTCATGGTTTCTGTCGTAGATCTTTACAAATTATGTGATAAATATAACTTCAATGTTTTCCGGAGGCACTTTATATTTCTTATAAAATAGATAAACTGAGTGTTGTGATGCCGTCCCGTCTCATAAAACTAACCAAACTTGTGAACTTTAGCCTCACTTGTTAACCTTCAAATACACAGACTTCGTCCTAGAAGTGAATGCGAACCGGCATTGTCATCTATAGATTTCACGTGTCTTGTCAGGACACTTCAAACTGAAACTGAGTTTTCACATCGTCAGAGGCTCTACACAGGTCAGGGGGACCTTAAGAACGTAAGGATAAATGAACACTGCATCAGGCCTACTGGCCCAGCCTGGGCAAGTTATTTTCCTCCATACATAACTTGATCACATTTCATCCAATCATCATCAAGTGTTTAACACCGTTGCACTGTAAGGAAAGGTTTTTCCATAGAGTTTTATGTTGACCATTACAAGAATTTTTTTCAAAAAAATAACTTAAAGCTTCTTCAGATAGGCTTCAAACTTTCAGTGCTGGTGTATCCTACTAAGGAGGAGGTTGAGATTGTTATTGGAGCGTGTAATTTCCCGTGTTTATTTTTAAAATGGTGTAATATTCTTTCTATGAAATAACTTGGGTATGACCCTCCTCTACGGCTTCAGTTTTTAATTACTGATGCATAATATAAGCAGAATGGTACACAAAAGGTGGTAGAAAATTTTTAGTTGTACCATTTTTAAATCCCCCCTTCACAAAAATTTGAAGGTAATTGGCAGGGGGAAGTACAGCCTCGGCTTTAAGGTAATCCACCCAGGAAAGTAAGGAACCACCATCATTTTTAAAAATAAAACTCAAAGTTCCCGGGCAGGGGTAAATACACTTAACATTTAATAATACCCCAGCAGGGGTTAATTTCCAGCCCTTAGCTATGGTTTAAAGATCAGATAGGCAGTGTTTAATAAGGCCCCGCCTTTAGGAGGTGTGAAGGTACCGCCCGGCAGGTGGGGCCGGATGCGGGGTGGGCCTCGAGGGTTGAAGGGGACCTTTGGGCGAAGATTTTTAATAGAGTTTCACATTAAGTAATACCTTCAGGATTTTTTTTTGAAGGTTTTTTTAACCCTTTTAATTTATAGGTAGCCAACTTTTCAGGCATGTTAAAATAATCCAAACCTCCCAGCGGTGGTTTGAAGGGACCCCTCCTTCCCCAAAATGGTTAATTACCCCCAGGGGTTTTACCCCCAGCGTGGGAAAGGTTTAGACTTTGTGCCCGGTGGTTGAAGGTAGTCAGCCTTCAGGGAGGTGGTTGAAGGTAGCCCGCCTTCAGGGAGGTGGTTGAAGGTAGTCAGCCTCAGGCAGGTGGTGGTTCAGTTTTGGCAGGTGGGTTGAAGGTAGCGCCTTCAGGCAGGTGGTTGAAGGGAGCCACCTTCAGGCAGGTGGTTTAAGGTAGCCAGCCTTCAGGGAGTGGTTGAAGGTAGCCAGCCTTCAGGCAGGTGGTTGAAGGTAGCCAGCCTTCAGGCAGGTGGTTGAAGGTAGCCACTTTAGGCAGGTGGTTGAAGGTAGCCAGCCTTTAGCAGGTGGTTGAAGGTAGCCAGCCTTCAGGGGAGGTGGTTGAAGGTAGCCAGCCTTCAGGCAGGGTTTTAAGGTAAACAGCCCCTTTAGGCAGGTGGTTGAAGGTAGCCAGCCTTCAGGCAGGTGGTTGAAGGTAGCCAGCCTTCAGGCAGGTGGTTGAAGGTAGCCAGCCTTCAGGCAGGTGGTTGAAGGTAGCCAGCCTTCAGGCAGGTGGTTGAAGGGAGCCAGCCTTCAGGCAGGTGGTTGAAGGTAGCCAGCCTTCAGGCAGGTGGTTGAAGGTAGCCAGCCTTCAGGCAGGTGGTTGAAGGTAGCCAGCCTTCAGGCAGGTGGTTGAAGGTAGCCAGCCTTCAGGCAGGTGGTTGAAGGTAGCCAGCCTTCAGGCAGGTGGTTGAAGGTAGCCAGCCTTCAGGCAGGTGGTTGAAGGTAGCCAGCCTTCCCGGCAGGGGGTTTTAAGTTTCACCCTTTCCGGCATGACATACCACCTTAGGATATAGGTTTTGAATTCCCGGAAAAGGGCGAAATATCCAGTTACATGGTTGAAGGAGCCAACCTCAGGCAGGTGGTTGGTTTTGCAGCCCCTCAGGGGGAAGGTACCAGTCCCTTAGGCATCTTGAATACCCAACCTTCAAAGGCCCGTGTTTGAAGGGACCAACCTAGAACCTTTGGGAAAAGGGACCAGTCTCAGGCAGGGTGAATACCACCTTCAGGCACGGTGTTTTAAGGTAAGTCAATTTGGTAAACCTTAGGATCGGTGTTGGGGGTAACCGGTAAGGGGGTTTGAAGGTAGCCAACCTTCAGGCAGGGTGGTTTAAGGTTTTTTCATCTCAAATTTATTTTCATAAAAATTTTTCCCCCGGGTTTTAGAAAATTTTTGAAGAAGAAGAATAAATTTAAGAAAATTTAATCTGGTTTGGAAGGAATAACCTTTAAACCTTGAAATACACTGTGTCTTCAAAACCACGTAAAATTGAAAGGGAACTGTTCTAATTCAAAATTTTCATTTTTTGAGTAATTAATCGTTGAGCTGGGGAGTTAACTAAATTCCCCGTCTTCCCAATTTTTTTGGACTGGAAAACTTTTCGGTTTTCAAAAAAGGTACCCAATGTTATTGACTTAAATCAATTTTTTGCCCATTTTAATTAAAATTGTGTTCAGTGAAAATAAAATTACCTTCGTTTTAGAAAAACAAAGAACCTCGGAAGAAAATAATTATTGGGTTTTTACTTTTATCTCGAGGGTTTTTTAAACTTAATAAACCCTTAAAATTGTTAGCTCTTGTCTCAAACACTTTTTAAGATTTGATGTTATGTGCTAGACTATATAAACTTCTATCTTTTCCTGATTGATGATGATGGTTAAAATCTGCATCCAAGCACGAGGGCTAATTCATCAAACTGTGCTGTTTGACCATTTTCCCTCTTTTTATAGGAACTGTGAAGCCATGGTGTGGGTCGTGAGCGAGCTTTTCCACAAAATAAGAAAGTATTAAAAATGTATTAATTTAATAGCTTCCATGAATTAATCCAATTAGAATAATCCAAATAGGACTTCCTTTTACAAAAACATCTATTCCCCCCAGACAATACCAAAAAACAAGAAAACCTTTATTATCATTCATCTTGACCTTTAGAGAGTGCCCAATTACAGTTAAAATCTGGAACCCCTACAAACCCCCCCCCCCATTTTCCTTTTGGTTTTTAGTATCTTTCTCATAACCCCTGTTTTTCTATCGGTTAATGAGAACCGTTGATAGGTCGGGGACTAATTTACCATTTCTACCTTTTAGCCCACACGAAAACCCTGGTTGGAAACACGGCGAAATTTTGAAACCCAATGTTCCCCGTTTTAATGCCTGGCCGATTACTAAAAAATTGTGCATTTGGTGGCCGTATCCGTGAACAATTTTTCTGTCCTGAACAAATTTGGGGTGTGAAGTCAATGTTGCAGTCCTAAGCAATGTTCAAACCTGCCGAGAAAGAGGCAAAAAATGAAGTATTTAATTAATTTTGGTTTTATGAAAAAAAATGAATCCTCGCTTGAACTTTAAACTCAACTTGAAAAAAAGGCCTTAATTAACAGAGTCTTTCCCCCCTTGTTATAAGTGTTATGGTGGGTGGGCCCTTTTTTATAAAAGGAGGGCCTGCGTTTAAACAAGCGGTAAGCCACGGAATTTTAACCCCTTTGGGCCCCCGTTAAATCCAAAAGGAAAAAAGGGGCCCTTCCTGGGGACCCCCTGATTCCAGTTGTCCCAAACACGGCCTTTTTCCTTTTGGAAGTTAATGTCATTCTTGTGTTAACCCCCCCAAAAAAACTTATCAATTCCGGGTCACGAAAAATTTGAAAAAAATTATAAAATTTTTTATTTTTTTCATAAAAGAATATGTAAAAACCCCTTTCCTATATTATTTGGGTTAGTTGAAAAACGTTAAAAAAAAGAGGCCAAAAGGCTAAACACCTAGTGAGGAGGAATTTGTTGTTGCCTCGTGAACGTGTAAAAAAACACGCAAGTCTTACCAACTTATATTTACTTAAACAATTATCGTTAATGTCTTTTGTTTTTCCTGTAATATTTCTTTCCCATACCTTTAGGAGGCCTAGTTTGAGACCGAGTCGCAGGGGCGATGATACCCAGTTCCATGAACTAACACTTAATATACATAGTTCATGACCTTCCTCATGCCAGCTGCTACGACTCTGGTGTTACACATGGACTCTGTATCACTGATACAGTCCTTAGATATCGTATAAAATGATTATCCCTTTACAAGAAAGCAAAGGAGGTATAACCTACTTAAAATTGAAGGTGTGAAACTGAGCATGTAAGGATAAATCTGATAGCAGGGTTTTCCGCGTGGATAACCAGGTACGGAAAGATATTTCTTCTTATTAAAAATATAGAATATTTGCATGGTCTGTGAAGTGGTACGAAAGGGTAACAACTTGGTCAGTGAGAAGAACTGAAATTTGGAATAAAACGAATATTATGGAGCACTCGAAAACTAACAAATAGTTTATATATAATGTTAACTTGCACAACTTACTGATATGTCAGGGTAACGAGGGAGAGAATGACACTTCTTACACCTCTGGCAGTCTCTTATCCACATCACTCGTATTTTCACATTAGCCTTTATTTTTTCCTTCGTTAACCACCCAAGAGATCCACCAGCAAAACTTATACTTTGGCCACTATTCGAGGTCAAAATACAGATAATTCAGACATAATGATCCTAGTAATGCGCATAAATAACACCTGTTTAGAATCCAGAACACACACAAGAGTCCCACAACGCATCAGAACCAAAGGGTCCACTCCCAGAAGAACCAGTGGATTTCTAAACAGGAGGGCACCAATTCAGTGCATCTTTCACAAAGATAACAATCATTAAGGTTATAAGAGGTCAACTGGGGCACATCCACCAGCATGGATGACTCTGAACAATATAATCCTGACAGTCTCTAAACAGCCTATGATTTCTGTGTCTTTATTCTCGTCACGTTCTTACTTGAGAGACATTAAAGAGACTTTATTGCAAATTGTTCAGGGTCTTGTCTGTGGATTGATTCAAAGAGTACCCAACACCCTCTAAAATCCTACAAAATTTCTGGTAGTGTACAACTAGTAACGTTGTTTATTCTGTTCCTAAGAACCTCAGTGTCCAAGATAGAGACCATAACCAGAGTCTGACTATTTCTTCAATAACTGGAATGGGATTCCTCGATAGTTCAATATAAAGATACTCTTCCTATGCCAAGACTTCATCAGGTTTAGAGCGAATTGATTGTTGCGATGTTATTTCGCCTCGAGGCAGCTCGGGGGCATCTGACTGGTCTGTCACCCAATTATCAACAAAGGTCAGAGGATTTTTCCACTCGCCAGCTATCTAACATCTCGATGTGTTTCTTCATTAATCCAATACATTCCAGTCTCAGTTTAACCTTGGCTGGTACTGCAACTCTACCTAACTAGCTTCCTGTCTCGTTTCTTCTAGAGAAACAGCATTGTCTGCAAAGACACTGCTGTTTCTATGAAGCTTGTGCTCATTACCCTTAAGTAGTTTACCACTGGGGGCCCCTATACCTGTCTCTCGTAGTGAGAGCGATGAATTGGAGTTCCACAGCGTTATTCTGGTAGCCGAAACCAAACACATTTAGAGCATTAATTCCTGCTAATTTTCCGTCTTACCTCCAACGAATATAACTATGACGGATACATGCTTCATCGGCTGGTAGATGAGTTACTGTGACATGAGTAAGATCTTAGGTGGGACTAATGTCCTCATTATCCTACCTCTCACGCTATCTTGAAAGTACTCAAGTCCTATCACATTCTAAGCGTTCGCTGGCAGTCTATTTCAATAACAGACTAACAATCACTCAGCCTTTCTAAAGAGTCTCCTGAACATTTTATATCACTAAATTGAGAAGATGATGACTTTATTGCACTCCTCCTCCACCCTGTTAAGATTCCAGAGAGATTGAACGACATAGTAGATCAACTGTCTTGAATTCTTCAAGTGTTGCACCTGTCTGAGGATCACCAAGAGAATTTTATGTCTCTAATTGAATGTTGGTGACACTCCATAAGTAGACGTATTCGCCTCGCTGACATATTACCATCTTCGTCTCTAAAGAATAAAAAGGCACAATACCGTGATTGGAACAATACTACCACCACCTCTCGTTCTACTACTACTCTCGTATATATACTGACTCCCTTTTCGCTTTTCAGTATAACTAATTAATGGCCCACGTTGAATCGAAACGTCGTCATAAGTTTCATTCTCCAATATACAGGTAGTGCATTTCAGTTTTTTCTCCCCATGTCCAGAACCATTCTCTTAGCGATGATGCAACGTCAGTGAACTGGACCCGAGTTCCAGTCTCTGTACCTCTCCCAGCTTCCGGTACTCGAAGAAGTAATGACCCTCTTTTAGGGATATGCAAATGTATTCTCGTGGCTCCAAGCAGATTCCTCAACTTCTAGTTTTGCAACCTCACGGAACATCAAAAGAAGGGTACCAAACTCCGTACATATCCACCAGACATATTCTGACACCTATAACATACACTGACACCTGACGCTCAGTAGCTTTCAGTGTCAACTTTAGACTATATGACCTTGTAAAATAAATCAAATACATTCTTTAAATAATACACAGTAATATCAACCATCTGAAATTCTCTATCATTGTAAGTAGTTAAACCATCTAACGTTCTCTATCCAAAACTTTACTGCTCGTATAACTGCTATCATATATCGGCGATAAGCGAACACACTTCAATAAGAAACTGATTCTAAAATACTTTTTAGTTTTCTAAGTTTTCAAAGCCAGACTAGCTCATAATTTTCCAGTTAAATTATTCCTGGTCTGGTAACAGGTTGGCATCTAAACACAGTGCTTTGATTTCCTCCTGGCATTTCATTCCTTGAAATTATAAAAGCAACTGGTTCAAAGTATCAGTTAAATGTGAAAAAATGGATGTCAAATTAAATTTATATATAACAAAGCTAACCAATTTGATCATACCTATCTGCAGAAATGCAAAAACAAACCTCTCATCCTCAATGAAATATTTCAACATACCACTAGAAGCAACTGTTCCATTTGGTGATGGTGCCAGAACACAAGGGGTGAATGTTGCACTCTGTGGAATAGGTCGTACCTGGCCAACAACGTGAATGATTTCGTACCTTCCAGGATCGTTACGTGACAAGGCTTTCTCCATCATGCGACAAAAGAATGACCTTCGGCTGTTTTCTGTTGAAACAAAACAAAAAAAATCATATCATAATCTAAAAGTAAAAGATCTATAGAAGGGACAAAAAAGCGACATTACAGAGGGCTAATTTGTAAGTTTAATTTAAAAATAGGAAGCACAGCTTTAGTTGAGGTTGGTACCCAATGTACGGTTCTGCAGTCATCCCTCCTGTGATACAGGATAATTGCTACATCTAGTTGTTTTAGTGATATTTAAGCATACATCAGTGAAATGGTACCTCATAACCAGGAAGGAAGCAAACTGTTTACAAATCCATGTGCAAACACATCTGTATATAAGAAACTGTATGGTGATACCAACAAGATGTGGAAAAAGATACTTACGTACAGTTCAGGACCTCTATTAGAGTTAACGTTTAGCCACGACTGACTTCTTCAGTCCTTCCTGAAGAAGTCACTCGTGGCGAAACGTTTCCATTAATAAATGTCCTGAACTATACACAAGTGTCTTTCTTTTTCCACCAACATCTGTATATTGTTGAGAAACGAAGCACAGTAGAACAGAACTAACTCCTTTTACCACTTTTATTTTGCTGGTCAAATCATTTCTCACTTTCCATCGATCAATGTTTACGAGACTTTAATCCTAGCTGTGCAATAGAATCTCGTTTAGTAAAAATGAACGTGACCAAGATGTGGGTTACCTCTGGGTGTCAGCTGCTGCTGGAAGATCTCATGGTCGTCAGGATGGATAACGCTGAAGATGTTGTGGCCCAACAAGTCGACCTGAATCAGTTAAATATTGACAGTAGAAAGACTTGTGCATTTGAAGGACATATCTTTTTCTTTTTAAACCTTACAACTTTCTTTTACAACACAGTAAATGATAATAATAAAAATAATATCTTTATTTACTACAAATACATGTACAAGTTTTACAGTCCTAGCTGACATCAATGATATACTGCTATACAGAAAGCCGTTTGTTATGCTGAGCATTTCCCGCAACTTAGGTCAATTTTGTCATAGGATGCGACCCACATAAGTCGACTAACACCCAGGTACCTGTTTTACTGCTGTACATGAATGGTACAAAATACCGACAAAATGAAAATTAGACACGTGCAACATCTCGGTATCTTTATTGTAGACGTTTCGCCATCTAGTGGCTTGATCAATACAAATTAAAGGACATGAATGGAAGATAGAACTATATACAAAAGCTGAGGTAATCAGTCCCTCAGCCTTGGAGTTGGTGTGAAGAGCACCGTCTTATGGAAACATGTCCTAATGTTTTCCAGCCGTACCAGGGGATCGATCTCCGGACCTCTATTTCTTCCCGCCCGCTAGTTTCTCAGTCTGCAAAGCCTCGCACACCTGCAACTTCTTCGTGCCTATCATTTATGAAGATGAACCTGCCTCATAAGCCCAAGTCACTTCACATTCCTCCAGTGCTTACAATTCACAAAGTTTTCCTTTTCGGCCTTGGTGCCTAGTTCTCACCCTCTTTCTTACTCTCACACGAAGGTGGTGGTCCCCTCTTCTCCTGTTCCCCCCAGACTTCTTCCCCAGTCACCTTCAAGCCAATTTCCTCTCCTGTTCCACTGCAGGATTCTTCTGTCCACATTGATGCATCTCTCCAGGTTCATACTCCCCTCTGACCTCTTCGGTTCTCTCCATAGTCTCTGAAGTCATGGTATCGGCATCTTCCTTGTCCGCTGTGACACTTGACGCTATCTCTGACTATATTGAAGAGACAAAACCCTCGATGGACACTTCCATCTTATTTTTCACAACTCTCGCAGCAAACTTTTCTTTCGCAGCATTCCAATTCCTCCTTACACGCTTTCCGTTGCCTCCACACATTGACTTCACTGATCCTACTAGCTCATAGATTTTATCTCTTCTTATTGTTGGCATACCTGTCTTTGTGAATAATGACTTAATTACAATGGAATATTCATGGCCTCAGGGGTAATTAGGAAGAGCTCCAGGTGTTGCTCTCCCAGTTTTCTGTAGTATGTGTCGGGTTACAAGAGCCCAAAATTCGTTCAGCTGTTATTCGTCCCGTTTCAGGCTATGTACTGATGCATTCTTCTGATCCTGATGAATCATTTAACGAGTGTGTGCTTCTTGTGCGCTTTGGTATACCGTATCAACATGTCTTTGTTCATTCTCTGCTGCATTGCATTGCAGCCCATATTTGTTAAGGTAACAAATAAAAACAATACTGATAGGGATTTTTGCTCTTGAACTTTCGCCCACACATAGGCTTCCCTTCACGTCCAAGTACAGGGAGAGGTGATTTTCCAGCTTGAAGCTACTTGAACGACGATGTAATCAGTCCCAAAACCAGAAAGTGTTTGATGGTTCAAGGTCTCTTGCACTGGAGTAAGAGCATTGCATAGAATAAACATATGTCAGAAGAAGTGCACATTGGTTTTATACGAAGATGCTGAACAGAGAAGATATAAGAACTCACATGTTCTAGAAGGGTTTCCCTGTTTCGTCATCCTCCTCCCTACAGGGAAGGAAATTTAGTAGGTCCTGAAAAAACTGACCTTTTTGCGTGTCTAACAGATGAAAAATCAAGTAATCGAGAAAAATACGACAGGTTGTTGGACAGAACAAAATAAAGTATCTCATTGTCAAACCTTCACCCTACATGGTTAGCCGAAAAAAGTTTCACAATAAAGATACCTACTATTGCATATGGTCTTACCTACAACTGTCGGTATTTTATACATTTTAATGTTCTGCCCATATTTATTCTACACAGGTGGTAATACAAATGAAAATACCAATACAATGAAAATAGGGATCCTCTTGACTCTCGCCCCGGGAGGTCATAGCGCTCTCCTTACTTACTCGTCCCCACGATCCCCCCTTGGGGGGGGGGAACCTTTTACCAGCGTTTTCATCGCCTTACTTACACATGAGCACGCAAATGTGTAAAGATCAAAACCAAGAAATGGGACCGGAAAGATTTTTAAAGAAGTTGCTCTTGTAAAGTTTTTCAGGGAGCCGGAAGTAAAATTCAACACCATATTGCAGAAAGAAGCATTTTATTTTTGTGTGTCACGAAATGCTGAAACAGAGAAGCTACTCACTACAGAACCATCACTACTCTTACTACCAAGGGTTTACTGTTACTCATCACTCTGCCCTCAGGGCAAGGAAATCATATTCTAAAAAAACTGGACAAGATTTTGACGTCTCAAACACCTGCTGAACTCAAGTCATCCATCGAGACGCAAAATACTGGGCTACTGTTGACAGCATTACAAAAATCCCAAATGCAACGTCCATGATCAAGGTCACCTTCACCGACGTGAACATGCTGCCACTGCTGAACGAAGGTCTTGCTGTCTACTACTACTACAATCAGCCTACCTACATTGAAGCAGAGAGATATCACTACATCCAACATGTGAAACTGTTATTCATAACCATCACACCACCAAGCATGTCCAGTAAAAGACAAGAAGTTCTGCACTACATGTGGTAGTGAGGGACACGCCTTCAGTTCCTGTACCGCTGCTGCTACCACACAACCAGCGTGCTTAAACTGCAAGAGTAATGATCCACCATACACTGGCAGCAAAATGTCCTACAAGAAAGGATATTATGAAGAAAACACAAGATGCAGCAAAGAAAAACCTACTAGCAACACTCCAACGTATGCAGCAATTGCAAAAATACAAGCAGACACTACAAAATTACTTCAAGCATCTACTCAGCCCGCCTCCACCACCACCACTACCATCACTCCTCCAACATGTGACTAACGAAGATTCACTACTGTCTACTATACGCTCATATGCAAAACATGGCTGTACCTGGATCATTTAACTCTACCATCAACGAGTTATTTGCATTAAATAACATGCCTTCATTTACATTTCCAGCATCTCCACCTTCTGAAGAAATTCTCTTATTCACCAAAACTTAATCGCCAACTCTTCTGCAGAAGTTCCATCAACACCACCAACTAGTGACGTCAATCCAACAACGACCAATGAGAAGCCTCCACCGCCACCACCTCTCACTGAATCCAACCAATCAGAAGCCCTACCACCAGAAACATCTTCTAATTCGTCTACTGAAGTTGAAAACGAAGCAACACCACCTTTCTCTACTCCACCACCGCCTTCTCTACTTACCTCACGTCGATTACCTGGAACACCATGCTTTAAACATAAAGGACTCATATTCTACACCACGAGGCTGTACCCTGCAAGCATGACTCGCCTAGAACTCATCCAACATCTCCAAGACAACACTGTATCGTACCAAAGCGAAGAAAGACCATTCCCTACCTACTACCAGATACTCCACCAACTCCAAACCAACGAATACTACTACAGCTCTCCCATAAGTGTGATACAACTCTCCCGAAAACAATTTACCGCACTGATAAACGGTTTAAGACCATAACCAACTCATCCTGCTTGCTGCCTTCTGACACTCCCAGCTCCTACCACTGCCTTCGCCATCCTCTCCTAGTGAGCCAAGCAATGACATCAGTCAAGCCTCTCTATCTACGTCTCCAGTACTTTTGTACCACATGTTCCAAAGTGGTTGGGCCACTTGCCTTGATTCCTTCTCTTCCCCTCCTCCCCATCCTTTTCCAGTTATTTCCATCCTTCCATATCCTTCTTCCTTCCCATCTTACGACAGATCTCGTCGTCCTCGATTCGATTCGATTCGTATACAGTTTTCTCTCTCTCTCCCTTCCCATACATTATGTATCTTGGATATGGCGTTCTTGATCTCGGCTGCTGCCCGTCTTGCTGTTAGTGATTTTAACGTTCACCATCATCTTTGGGGAGGTCCTACTGTGACTCTCGTGGTGATCAGTTGGAGACTCTTCTCACTTCTCATCCTCTTCATGTTTTAATAAAGGTGCTCCCACCCATTTTGACTCTCGCACTCAGTCTCTCTTACAATGATCTTTCTATCTGCTCCTCATGAATCACACTTGATTACGTTGGTCTGTTCTCCCGGATTTGCATGACAATGATCACTTTCCTATTCTTCTTACTTCTATTACATATTCTCAACTGCCTCATAGCCCCATTGGCAATTTGGAAGAGCAAAATGGGACTTATACTCTCATCTTACCACTTTTTGTGTGGGGGCCCTTCTTAATCTCCTATTGATGAGCTGGTGCACAAGTTTTCGACCTTAGTTTTGACTGCAGCATCACGTCTATTCCTCAAACCTCAGGTAGGCATTCTCAGACATGCGTGCCTTGGTGGTCTCCTGCTTGTGCCGGTGCAGTGCATCTGAAACGCGCTGCATGGTATAATCGTGATATAATCAGACCTCAGATCGTCTTTTGGATTTTAAGCAGGCAAGGGCAGTCACTCGCCATGTCATACATGACAACAAATGCACTTGTTGGCAAGACAAAGTTTCTACATTACCTCGATTTTCCCTGTGTGTGTGGTTTGGAAGGTACAGAAATTGTGTGCCAAGTACACACCAGCCCCAGCTCCTGTTTTGCGGGTTGCTGGTGGTGCTAATGTTGTGGAATCTCCTGAAGTTGCCATGGAAATCGGGAACTATCTTGTCCGTGTCTCCCAAGGGCTTCACCTCTGTCCCTCGTTTCTCACATCTAATCTACCAAGGAGCAATTGCCCTTGGATTTCTCTTCTAATGGAATGGAGTCATCGGCAGCTGGGCCTCATATATCCATATGCGACAACATCTGCATTCTACAGCCCTTACAGTCCTTTTCTGTCTTTTCAATCTTATTTGGACGCAAAGGTTCTCCCTCAATAATTTAAATCTGCCATTGTACTACCATTTCACAAACCAGGCACCTCGGGCTTGATCTCTCACTACTGTCCCATTGCTCTGAACAGTGTAGTCTGCAAGGTGATGGAACAATTGGTGAATAGACGTCTGATATGGTATCTCGATACTCTCAATGGTCTTTCTCCTCGCCAATATAGCTTTCGCAAGGGCCGCTCTACTTTGCTCCACTTAGATACATGTGTGTGAAATGCCTTTGCTAATAAACACACTATCCTAGCAGTCATTTTTTGATATCAAGAAGACATATTACACCACTTGGGGGTATAATATCTTAGCCCAAGCCCACTCCTTAGGTCTCTGCGGTAATCTACCAACCTTCCTTGCTGCTATCTTATCTGAAAGACATTTTCGTGTCCGTGTTAACGCCTCGCTTTCCTCAGACTTTGTTCAGACCGAGGGAGTCCCACAAGGTTGTGTCCTTTTCTTCCATCGCATATTTGGTTGTCACTTTAAGTGGATGACTTCGCTATATCTTATGCAGGCGTTGACTGTCGCCTGGTAGTGGCCTTCCATCAAGATGTGGTCGACCGAGTTTCCCATTGGCCCACTTCTCATGGATTTAAATTTTCTAGTACCAAAACCCATTTCGTCATCTTCAATAGACGTCCTCTTGTCCCAGATATTCCATTGTATTTACACGCTCACGTATTCCAGAATGTGATATGGTCAAGTTTCTTGGCCTTCTCTTCGATCGCCGTGACATGGAAACCTCACATTTCCTCTTTGAAAGCAGCTTGTCATGGTCGGCTGAATCTCCTTAAAATTCTTGCGCGTTGTTCGTGGGGAGCAGATCGCCAGACTCTCCTCTTGTTTGCATTCCACCCTAGTCTTGTCCAAGTTGGATTATGGTGACCAAGTCTGTTTTGTGGCTTCTACAATTCTTCCTAAGTTAGATCCCATTCATCATCAGGGTCTATGTTTATGTCTTGGTGCCTTTCGTTCATCACTTGCTGAAAGCCTCTATGCTGAGGCAAATGTTCCTTCCTTAGCTAATCGTCGTGATGCTCATGCTTCGTTACTTTGTCCGCTCTCATGACCTTCGTGTTCCTTCTACATATAGGTTGGTCTCATACGTTAGTATGAGTTTGAGGTAATCAGTCCCTCAGCCTGGAGTCGATGTGTTCAGACCATCAATCTTGATAAGAATACAGCATATGCGGGAAGAAGTCTTTCTGATTACTTCGACTCCAGGCTGAGGGACTGATAACCCCGAACTGGCACTCCAACCTTCAATGCTGATCCTCTAAACTATTTTATAAATGAAACACGGCCGGTTACATCAACTTTAATTCTGCTCTGTGCCTTGCCTGACCCTCCACACATTTTTATTTAGTGTTTCGTGACCTATACGGTTTATTTTTAACATTAACAAGACTGACTTTGTATTTAGTAAATGCGAGACAAGTAAATGAATTATGTTGTATATGTATGGTATCAAATACCGACAAGATGAAAATTAGACACACGAGCAACATCAGGGTATCTTTGTTGAAGATAAATGAAACACACTTGGAATACTTGGTTTTCTTTATTCTGGAAACGTTTCATCACACAATGGCTTTTTCAGTTTAATGCAGAGAAAAAGGTGGAATAAGAGTAGTAGTTTGAGGCAATCTGTCCCATTTATTCATATCTTTATTGTAGACGTTTCGCCATCCAGTGACTTTATCAATACAAATTCAAGGACATAACTGGAAGACAGAACTATATACAAAAGATGAGGTAATTAGTGCCTCCAAGGCTGAGGAACTACCTCAACTACCTCGTCTTTGGTATATATTTCTACTGTTTTCCAGTTATATCCTTGAATCTGTATTGATAAAGCCACTGGATGGCGAAACGTCTACAATAAAAATATTCAGATGTTGCACATATGTCTAATTGATAAGAACATAAGAAAGGAGGAAAACTGCAGAAGGCTTACTGGACCGTACAAGGCAAGTCCTTATCAAAACCATCCCTTCCCAATAACTGACCAAGAATTTACTCCCGTACCCACGACACCAATGAAACCCAACCCCTCATACTCAAATTTATCCAATATCTTTTTAAAGAAACCCAGGATCCAAGCCTCGATCACCCCACTCGGACGATTGTTCAACGCATCGACCACTCTGTTTGAAAACCAGTACTTACCTGAGTGAGTCATTCTGCAGTGAACCTTACCTGACTATGGCCAAAGAACTGGTCTACAGCCTCGGTAATGTAAACAACTTTTCCGGTAGATGTGACCACCAGCAGGAAGCCTCCCACAGCCTGTAAATAAATACCCACATTAATCATGGGTAACATCACCTCCAGACACACATGAAGCAGTTAGGTAGATGAATTAGACACTTGTGCAACATGAAAATTAGACACATATACAACATCGAGGTATTTTTAATGTAGAATTTTCGGCATCCAGTGGTTTTATCAATACAAATTCTAGGACATAATTTGAAGACAGAACTATATACAAAAGATGAGGTAATCAGTCCCTCAGCCTTGGAGTTGGTGTGAAGAACACCGTAGTCGTGAAAAATCTGGAACGCAGGCACCCACAGACCACTGCTGACCTTGCTACTGGCAAGACACAAAAAAGAGCCCAAGAAGAACACCTCCAATTCACCGACATAGGCAGGAATAACCAAGGTTCTACACGCCACTCTAGAGACACCTTCACTCAGCAACTCCCTCTCTCCACTCCCCAATGGTGCTCCTCCAAGGTGCTGTACTGCATGGTGTATGCACACCATGCAATCGCAGCAAACCCCGGCACTTTCAACACCACTATTAACGAACTATTCCGTCTAAACAACATGCCTGCCTTCAATTTCCTGGACTCCACACCTTCAGCCGACATCCTCAAGATCCTTCACAACGTCGTGAACTTTACTGCACCTGCAGACTTGCCTCCTGCCCAAGCAACTGCTCCTGTAACTTCTATAACCACTTCCACCGCAGACAACGATGATCATGTTACCTCAACCACCGTCTCCCACGCCTTCCAACCTGGTATTACACCATTACACCTCTCCACTGCTCCTGTCAACCCTCAGTCACCTGCTAACACCAGAAGAAGATAGTGACGACTCCAGTACACCCTCATGGAAAAACCTTACCTTCTACACTTCATCAGAGGCTGACACCATGACCTGCACTGAGCTCTATAAAAGCCTCGGTGCTGGAACAGTCAAGTATGACCGTGAATCACCTCTTCACTTCACACTCACCCAAGTTCTTGAGTTCATCAAGCCTCTACATTTCACCTTCAGTAACAAAACTAAACTATACCATCTCTCCAGAAGCAGCTTCAAAAAGTTTGAAAATGGCTCCACTGCAAACCTGCCTCCTCAATTACTCCTATAACTAGCATCTGTGTGCTGCCCTCTGATATTCCTACCTGCCTGCCCTCTCCTGCGACCTAGAAACTGTCAGCTTCTTAAGACTTAAGACCTCGACTACCACGAGATCGATGCATACACAGCTTCCTCTTCCAGTTTTCTCCAAGTTGGTCCCACGAGCGCCTAGCTACTGGCGCTCTTGGGACCAACACTATGGACACTCCTCTCCACCGCTATTCTTCACCTATCCTGTCTTCCCAGGTCACCCTACATGAGGTCTTACCTAAACTCTCTTGATCTTGGAGCACAGGCAAGAAGGCTGGCACTTATATACTGGCGTCAGGTGAAAAAGGGACGGGTAGCAGACGAAGGCATTGTCACTGGTAGGCGGGATTCCCCAGTGGAAGGTCATACCCAAGGGACGGGTTAGTTCATGGCAGGGGCACGGTGAGCAGTCATGTCAAGTGGTGTACCGTTTACAGCCCTATGACAAGAGGACGGTGGCTCAGCTCCAGCTGAGCCATTCCTGGCACTCAGGCCGCAGCCCGATGCCAGAACGACTCGGGAAATTCTCTGGAGGTGTGTTAACACCTGACGTCCGACACAAGCCCTGTCTGAGCAGTGTACACGAGTATATATAGAGAGCAGAGTGACGTGGACAATCAGGTGAGCAATGCTGAAAATATTGCAAAATACCGACAAGTTGAAGATTAAGATACATGTGCAACAGCTGGGTATCTTTATTGATGAAACGTTTCGCCTACACAGTAGTTTTCTTCAGTCAAATACAGAAAAGGAGGAGGACTGATTACACCTTCATTACTACTACTACTACACCTGCTGACTGTATTTTGACTGAAGAAGCCTATGTGGGCGAAACGTTTCAACAATAAAGAAAGCCAACTGTTGCACGTTTCTTACTCATAAGGACTGTGAAATGAGGTTCAGTTTGAGAGGACCTGCTCAGGTAGATCCGTTTGTGGCTTGCCGTTTATGGCTTGACAGAGACCGCTGTGTGGGCGAAACGTTGTCCAGAGAGGATCGCATTATACTGCATTTATGCCTCTTTTTTAATCATCGTGAGGATGTTTTATACTATTTCCCCGCATGTCCTAGACGTTTCGCACAATGCCCCTCAAGGTGGGCACATTAATACTGAAATATCACCGATTCAAGGAACAGAAGCTACTAACACCTTCCTCGCATCAAACATAATTGTTTCGCCCCCACCAACGTGCAGGGGGAGACCCTACAGGGTTAGCGATTCCCCATAAATCTAATATGGACACGGTAAACTCTGCTATCTTTGGCCTATTATAGCGAACCTCGCAAAAATAAACAGTCATGAGAATTTCCTGACGTTAATGGACTTAATAGAGAATTAAGTTTAAAATAACTGACAAGAATTTATTAATATTTTTTTGACGTTTATCAACAATATATTAAATTCTATTTTTCTACATACATATATATATACAAATATATATATATATATATATATAAATATATATATAATATATAATATATATATATATAAATAATATATATATATATAAATATATAATATATATTATATATATATATAATATATATATATATATAATATATATATATATATATATATATATTATTATACACACAATATATTAACAATCCTCCCTGAAGCCTCTACTACCACTTCAACTAAGAGCACCCTTTTGGGAGCACCGCTGGGTCACCAGGCCATCGACCCAGTCCTCAAGGACAAAATGAATGACCTGAAGAGAATGCAGGAGAGAATAAGAGATCTTGATGCACATGATGCCCTGTATTCTTCACAAGGTGTATTATTCTGCAAGACTCGCTTACTTCCTGAGGTGCGCACACTTTTGACAACCCAACACTCAACGATTGTGACTCACTCCTGAGATCAGTCTTTAAGAAGGCACTGAATCTGTCACTGGAAGATCAGCAATGGGATCAGGCAACCTTCCCAATGCGACTGGGAGGTATAGGGGTGCGCAAAGCAACGCAGGCAGCTTTGTCTGCATTTCTGTCCTCGCGTTTGGCTTCCAGTGGACTAGTCAAGGAGATTGTCTCCGAACGCTTGAGAGGTGCAGTAGGAGCTCAAGACCCCAGGTTCATTGAAGCAGTCATGGAGTGGGACACCCTTGCAGACTCTTCCAGTAGATCAGCTCCTCCCAAAGAGCACAAACAGTCTCACTGAGACAAACCGATCATGGAAAAAATCACCAACACAATGCTCACCAACGCTTCAGGAAAGAACAAAGCTCGTCTCCTAGCGGTGAAGGCACCACACTCCGGAGATTTCCTTTTAGCTGTTTCCCAATTCCTCTCTGTGCACTCGACTCTACCCACAGGCCATTCGGATTGGTGTTGCTCTTCACCTAGCCGCCCCCCATACTCACTGAACATAGGTGTAATTGCGACAGGGCAACGGCTGATCAACTCGGACTTCATAGTCTTATGTGTCACACAAAAGGGAAGTATGTTAGACATGAGGTCAACGACATCATAAAGAGAAGCCTCGCCACAGTCTGTTGCCCAGCTCAACAGGAACCCCAAGTACAGAGGTCTGACGGAAGTCAAAATTGTCCTGATGGAGCCACTATGCTACCCTGGAAGGATGGTAAGCAGATTGCCTCGGAATATACCTGTGCCGCCACACTGGCAGACACCTACTTGCCATACTTTGAAGCTGAAGGGGGTGGAGCTGCCAGCTACAAGGAGACCCAGAAGACCCGCAAATATGAAGGCCTTCCCCCTTGTTATAACTTCATCCCAGTAGGGTCGGAGACCCTTGGAGCATGGGGCAAGTGTGCTATGAAGTTCCTCAAAGATCTGGATGAAAAACTCATCACAGAAACCAAGGGTCACAGAGGGGCCAGCTTCCTCTTTCAGATACTCAGTGCTGTGATCCTGAGGGGAAATGCTGCAGCATTCTGGGCACACGGCCCACCGCCGGGGAGCTGGACGAAGTATTCAAGATATAGCTCTGAGATGTTATTTATGTTCTACTCCCTATTGTATTTTTGTCAGTGTATTTTATCTTTAAAGTCTACTTAGAATAAAGAATATAGGGGGTGGTAGAAGACAATATTCAGCGTCAGGGAGAACCTTGAGTTTTCCCTGAAGTAAGTTTATTCTTTCTTGAAGATGTGGGTCCCCAGAACAGTTCCAGAGGTGGTACTTCCATAATAATAATATATATATATATATATATATATATATATATATATATTATAAAAAATATAAATTTATATATATATATATATATAAATATATAAATTATACACACAAAAAA